GGCCGGGGCCAAGGCAGCGGGGGCCGTTCCCTCACTGTTTCCAGGATGGCTTCGCGGGCCACATGAAACCACGTTGCAAGCCGCATCCGGCCCCCGGGCCTTGTGTTTGACATGTCTGCCCTAAAGTCTCGGCAGCCCTCCCCCTCCTCCTCCCCCACTCCAAAACAGAGCCATCCAAAATGGAGAGGAGACGTCTCACTTTGTCTCCGCATAATTCCCTTGCTTTGCTCTGGTGGTGCACCGCCTCATTTGGAAAGTGTATTGTTTGTGCGGCTCCTGATGGGCCTTCCCCGAGCTCGTCGGTAAATTACGGTGCAGAATTTCAGAGTAATTAGTTGTCATCCCCTCGGTTGAGTGTGTGAGTTGTGGCACTCATCCAGGGCTAGACAACCCTTCCCCTGATTCGGAGCTGCAGCGAAGGTGTCTGTTTGATCATCGTGCTGCGTGCGTTGCTACCTTCTTTGTAGGTTTCGAGGTTTCTCTGTTGTATTTCTGCGACAATTTACAGATACAGATACTCCCGTTACTTAACGGCCAAAACGGAGTCCCAGCTTTTCTGCGGCTAAGCGAGTCGGTTGAAGTGAGTGTTGTCCCAATGCGCAGTCTTTCTTGGCACACTTGTCAAGGGAATCACTGCAGTTAAGTTAGCAACACGATTGTTAGTTCAATCCGGCTTCCCCTTTTGACTTGGCTGATCGGAAGGTCGCAAAAGGGGTCACGGGAGACCCCCAGGGATGCTGCAACCGGGTACCAGGTGCTCAGATTTTGATCACGTGAGCACAGGGATGGCGCAACGGTGTCAGTATGAAAAACGGTCATAATGTCTATACCAGGGATAGGCAACCTTGGCTCTTTTTATGACTCGTGGACTTCAACTCCCAGAATTCCTGAGCCAGCATGGCTCAGCTTGGAAACCTCTCCCTTTCCCTTCAGCATGGCTGGCTCAGGAATTCTGGGAGTTGAACACCAGTCATAAAAAGGCCCAGTTTGAAGACCCCTGCTCTAAAGGTACAAACCAGTAGTTCCGCCGGATGTAGAGTTGGTCTATAGCAGGAGTGGGGAACCTTGGCTCTTTTATGACTCGTGGACTTCAACTCCCAGAATTCCTGAGCCAGAATGGCTCAGCTTGGAAACCTCTCCCTGTCCCCTCAGCGTGGCTGGCTCAGGAATTCTGGGAGTTGAAGTCCACGAGTCATAAAAGAGCCGAAGTTGCCTACCCCTGATCTAGGTGTATCTATCGTCTGTCCGTCCGTCCATATCTATCTATCTATCTATCACAGTGGTTCTCAACCTTTTTAATCCCGCAACCCCAACCGGTCGTAAGTCGAGGACTAAACCGGTCGTAAGTCGAGGACTAAACCGGTCGTAAGTCGAGGACTAAACCGGTCATAAGTCAAGGACTACCCAACCGGTCGTAAGTCGAGGACTTTGCCTGCCCGGGAGCGCCGCGCATGCGTGGTTCCGCCCCCTGCGCCGGCCGAGGTGTAGCTGGCAAGCGGCAGAGACGGAGCAGGCCGACCACCAGCTGGCCCAGCCCAAGGGAGGTAAGGCACCCGCCGGAAAAGGGGGAAAAATGGCGGACAGCCTTGCTTGGCGACCCCCATGAAATGGTCGATCGACCCCAAATGGGGTCCCGACCCACAGGTTGAGAACCACTGATCTATCATCTAGGTCAGGGGTAGGCAACCTTGGCTCTTTTATGACTCATGGACCAACTCCCAGAATTCCTGAGCCAGCATGGCTCAGCTTGGAAACTCTCTTTTTCCCCTCAGCATGGCTGGCTCAGGAATTCTGGGAGTTGAAGTCCACGAGTCATAAAAGAGCCAAAGATGCCTACCCCTGGCTTAACCAAAGGGCGATTAGAACATGGATTCTGGAAAGTCCTAAACAGATGAAGGGGGTCAAACAGAATCAAAATCAGACCTTGAAATTAATTACAAGAATCTTTCCCAGGGGTTCTCTTGAATTTTATTTTTGAAAATATATATATGAAGAATTTAAAATTAATTCTAAGAAACCTTCCTTTGGGAAAATGTTGTTGATTAGAGAAAAACATGATAAGAGGGGATTCTAAAGGTTGGACTCTAGAGGAAACCAGAAAGAACTAAAGATTATAATTAAAGGAGAAGAGACCCATTCATGCAGAATGGAACAAAATACTCTTAACTATAGAAGACTTTTAACGATATTTGGGGACGACATATGAAGAGGTTTCCCTGAAAATTGTCTGCTACTATTAAAATGTGACTTAAAGAGTTTTTAGAAGTGAAAAACAGATAGAGGCTGATTTGAATGTGGATATAAAACTTAACAGCCTATTATAAGAATGGTATGGAATAAGATGATTTACAAATGAAACAACTGATACCTTAATAATTAAAAGGAATATTGAAATAACAAACCAGAGGGGAGACCTGGATAATCTGTCTATTTTGGATTCAGAAATGAGACCTGTTAAAAGTTTTGAAGGAGTTTTCGAGAAGGGGAAATGAAATCAAATGCTGGGACCCTATTTAAAGGGATTTAAAATCAAGATTGTTAAAAGGAAAAGAATATAAATTTGGGTTATTTGATTGAGGTTAAAATATGTTATTGTTTCTGACAACCCTTAATAATAATAAAGTTGGAAGGGACCTTGGAGGTCATCTGGTCCACTTAATGAACACTGCTGACTGAAACTATGAATGGCAACGCTTTAAATATTTGTTTATAGAGAGGAGCTGAAATATGGGAAGAAGGGATATTTTTCTTGTATTATTTTTTGAGAAAGTGATAAATGATTATGTTAAAAAAAAGAAATATAAAATGTATTTATTTGATTACGGCTAAAATACGTGCTTTTATTTCTCTTAACTCTTGGTGGGCCGTTGCTGATTAGGATCCAATGACAGTTTTAAGAACAGATTATTGATAAGGGATAGGATATGGAAAGAAGGAAGATCTTTGGTTATAATATCAGACAAGGTGATAAGTTACTAAAATCGATCGATTGTGTTTGTCTTGATTAAGGGGGAGACATTTCTTTATCTCTTTTTTCCTTCGTTCTATTTTTTTCTTCTTTGCCCTTGGCATATTATTTTTCTTAGTTTGTATTAGTCTTTTATCTCTTTATTTCTAAATGCTAATAAAAAGGATTTAAAAAAAAAAGACTAGATGACCTCCAAGATCCCTTCCAACTTGATGATGATGATGATGATGATGAAGAAATAATAGTAGTAATAATAATAATAATAATAATAATAATAATAATAATAATAATAATAATAATAATAATAATAATAATAATTTGCCTGTAAGCAAGAACTGGTGGGATCATAAAATAGAGAAAGTCATAGAAAATGATAAAATTAAACTGCTCTGGGACTTCAGAATTCAAACAGACAAGCACCTGCAGCATAACACCCCGGACGTAACAATTGTCGATAAGAAAGACAAAAAAGTCTGGATAGTGGACGTGGCAGTGCCTGGAGACAGCAGAATAGACGAGAAAGAACTGGAGAAGATAACAAAATACAGAGACCTACAAATAGAAATAGAAAGACTGTGGCAAAGGCAAGCAAGGGTAGTACCAATAGTCATAGGCGCCTTGGGTGCAATCCCAAAACAACTGGAGCACCACTTGAACACCATCATTGGCATTGACAAATTCGCCATTAGTCAATTGCAAAAGGCGGCCTTACTAGGAACAGCTTCCATCCTGCGACGAGATCTGTAATACCATCAAACATCCACATCTGCCTATCCCAGGTCCTGGGTAAGGACTCGATAGGTAGACAAAAATGCCAAATCCAGTCTGAACATCTGGCTGACTGTGCGATGATCAACAACAACAACAACAATAATAATAATAGGGGAGGTCGGTGATCACATGACTGTCTCTCCCTGTGATGTCATAATTGTGAGCCAGGCAGCCGATCATGATCACATGACCACAAGGAGCTTTGAGGATTGCTCAGACGTCCATTTTTGCAATGCCACGCTGACTTTGAACCAAGGGGTGTAAAGCAGAGGACTACTTGGGGACTTTAGGGAAACTGAGGCAGCAACCAGAATCGGGAATGGGGGTTAGAGGTGCTCACAGCCCAGACCAAAATATCCTGCTACACTTTGGGAAAGCCCACAAATTGGAGGTGAGGTCCTTGATGCTCTCTGCATTTGATTATTCCCTTGCAGACGTTTCGTTACCCAATTAGGTAACATCATCCGTGCTAGAAAGCAGGGGAGTTTGGTGTACTGTTTATAATAATAATAATAAAGTTGGAAGGGACCTTGGAGGTCATCTAGCCNATGGGAATTAGTTAGACCAGTGGTGGCGAACCTATGGCACGGGTGCCAGAGGCGGCACTCTGAGCCCTCTCTGTGGGCACGCGTGCTGTCGCCCCAGTCCTAGGCCTTCAGTTGGGTTTTATAAAACCTTTTCGCTTTAGGCCTCCGCCGCCATGTGCAAAAAAAAAAAAAAAAAGATTCAGTCAATTTCAACTTCTCACGGGGAAAAAAAAGATCTTGCAAAGTTGGAATTGATTGATTGAACTTTTTAGTCCCACCCAGTCTTCCGTTACCACCGCAGCCACGCCCATCCAATTGGCCACACCCATCCAATGGGCCACACCCACCCGGCACTCGACGATGCATAAGTGGGTTTTGGGTTGCAATTTGGGCACTCAGTCTCTAAAAGGTTTGCCATCACTGAGTTAGACATAACAACCTCCATAGTAGGGTGTTTTTTTCAAGGCTGTTTGAAATGAGAGATGATAAGGAATGGCGGGTTGGAGAACTTGGAGGGAAGGTCCGCATTTCAAACTAATTGGGGAATGTGATTTATGATTGTTAGTTGTGCTTTGATACTATGTATTTTAGGGGAGGGGAACTCAGATTTCGGCTTTGACCATGTACGTGCCGATGCCATGCAACTTGAATAAAGATTCTTTCAGGCAAACAATGCCTCGAAGTTCTTTGAAGAGTTCCATCAGTCGGAACCGTGACCTCCGCTTTCTTTTCAGAAATGCGTCTACTGCCGTAAGCGGATGAAGAAAGTTTCCGGAGCCTGCATCCAGTGTTCCTCCGAGCATTGCTCCACGTCCTTCCACGTCACCTGCGCCCACGCGGCCGGCGTGCCCATCGAGCCCGATGACTGGCCCTACGTGGTGTCCATCACCTGCTTCAAGCACAAAGCGGCCAGCCACGTTGTAGGTCTCCCTCGGATCTGTCCCTCTCCTTCCCCTTGTTCCCCCCGCCGGCCCGCCCTTTCGCTTGATGGACAGTCCCTTTGTCTCTTCCAGCTTCCCTTTTCCAGAGAGGTCTCCCTCAGCCAGACGGTAATCGCGAAGAACCGGAACGGCCTCTATTACCGGTGCAAAGTGATTGGGGTGACCACGCAAACCTTTTACGAGGTCAACTTCGACGATGGCTCCTACAGTGATAACATTTATCCAGAAAACATTATTGTAAGTAGCTTGGAGGAGCAGGAGGCCTTCAGAGTAGAGCGGGGGGGGGGGTCTTCAAATTGGGCCCTTTCAAACGTGCCTGGCTGAGGAATTCTGGGACTTGAAGTCCACAAGTCATAAAAGGGCCCAGTTTGAAGACCCCTGAAGTGGAGTGTGTAACGTCTCTGGATAGGAGAGTCCTCTTAACTCTGTTCTCTGCGCTTGGTTGTTTTCTTGCAGACGTTTCATGACCAGACTGGGGAACATCATCAATGCTAGAAGGGAGTCAGTGGGGTTTGTGGAGAGGAGGAAGAGGAGGAGGAATGCTGTGGGGTCCTCGGTGCTCTCTGAACTGGATGGTTTTCTTGCAGACGTTTCATGGCCCAACTAGGGAACATCATCAGTGCTAGAAGGGAGGAGGGGTTGGGCTCTGTTTATATACTAGCGGCTTGCTGTGTCAGTGTCGACGGGAGTGTTCTTGGTGCTTCCTTGATTAGGCCGTTGTTTACTGTTCGATTCTGTGTCTGAATCGGTAGTTCCTTGATTAGAATATATTTTTTTCTGCTTGATTGTTTGCCTTGACGTTTATCACTGGTCATCTGGGTCTTTTGCTCCTGGTAAGGATGTGTTGTAGTAGTCTTTCTGTTTCATTCTTAATTTTCCTTATTGTCTCTTTTGAAGGGTGTGGAAATGTGGTTTATCTCTATGGGCCTGTTGATGGCCAGTTTGTTTTGAGGGCCAAGCTTCCAGGAACCCTCAAGTGTTGTTGGCTTGTTCTAGGACAGGGGTAGGCAACCTTGGCTCTTTTTATGACTCGTGGACTTCAACTCCCAGAATTCCTGAGCCAGCCTGGCTCAGCTTGGAAACCTCTCCCTTTCCCCTCGGCATGGCTGACTCAGGCATTCTGGGAGTTGAAGTCCACGAGTCATAAAAGGGCCCAGTTTGAAGACCCCTGCTCTAAAGGTACAAACCAGTAGTTCCACCGGATGTAGAGTTGGTCTATAGCAGGGGTGGGGAACCTTGGCTCTTTTATGACTCATGGACTTCAACTCCCAGAATTCCTGAGCCAGCATGGCTCAGCTTGGAAACCTCTCCCTGTCCCCTCAGCATGGCTGGCTCAGGAATTCTGGGAGTTGAAGTCCACGAGTCATAAAAGAGCCAAGGTTGCCTACCCCTGATCTAGGTGTATCTATTGTCTGACCGTCCGTCCGTCCGTCCGTCCGTCCGTCTGTCTGTCTATCTGTCTATCTGTCTATCTATCATCTAGGTCAGGGATAGGCAACCTTGGCTCTTTTATGACTCGTGGACTTCAACTCCCAGAATTCCTGAGCCAGC